CCAAAATATTTGTTACTGTAAAATGTGATTTGTCATTGAGAGATTATTTTTCTGTATGTATATGAGAGTATTTTAGGAATCTAATTTAAGTACATAAAATTATAGAAAAAAAATTTAAACCTATTCCAGGAGTAGAAAAAACTTAATCAGATTAACTGGGTTCAACCTGACGAAATTTCTTACATTAAAAAAAAAAAATACAGATTGTATATGCTTAGAAATTCAAAGGAGTTAGGTTTTTATCCTGCAGGGAATATGAATTTCATATTCAGGAAATGGGTGGTAATGTGTTAAAGTGGAGTATCCTGTAGCCATGACTTGGGGTGAGACCTCCACATTTCATTAAAAATTGATTCATACAGGGCTGGGGATTTAGCTCAGCGGTTCTGCTGCCTGCTTCACAATCACAAGGTCCTGAGTTTGATCCCTGGTACCAAAACAAAGATAAAAACTGATTCATACAGATAACGTATTTTGAAGGGCTGTGTGTTCATGAAGGACAAGAGACCCGAGAGTCTGCCTGCTATCGGGCCCATGTGCCGCAAAAGCTTCCTTGGACTCTAGTGGATTGGTCAGGAATCTGGGGTGACTCTGTCCCACCAGAGTTCAGGGACCTTCTGGGAGGCCTCATCCTGACTGACAGCCCACCCTTTCCACTTATGGATGGACTCAGTGCTCCCTCCTCTCCTTTAGTGCTTGCATCTTCCATGAGACATCCTGGTACGCCTCCACCTTCTCTAACCCTGCACAGCCAAGTGGGAGGTGGGAGGGTTTCTGGGCTATGGCAAAACAGCTCATATAGGGCAGCTTCCTGGCTGCTCCAGCCCGTGTCTCTGGTGGAGACCCAAGGAACAAGAGCTTCTCTTCTTACCCCTCATACCTTCTCCAGAAAAGTATCAGCAGTCCAGGCTGCTTCAGGGGCACAGGTTTTCTCTGTGTGGCCACCAGAGATGTCCCTGCAGGTGACCCAGAGAGAGTTGCATTGAACTGTGTCTAAAGCCCAGAGAGTTGCATTCAGATGCAGTTGCAGGAGGTGGGGACCTGGGTCCCCATTGAGCAAACCAGAAATGCTCTGTGATGAGAAGGCATGGAGATTCGGGGCCAGTAAACATCGACCACTGTAGAAAGCTGAGGACCAATGGTTTGAAAGGACTTACTCAAGTACGAGCATTAGGTTTTCAAGATTTCCTCTTACTGCCTCCTATCAACAGTCTTATCTGTAGGCCCGACACTGTTAACCGCTGGAGTCCTATGATTTGGGCAGCTTCTTGGAATCTGTTGGAGAACTGTGTAAGGGGTCTGTAACTACCTTTACTCCCAAAGATGGAGCCATTCAGAGAGCTCTTCATTCAAGTATAGCCTGGGAAGGCCATTTGAGGCCAGCGACAGACCTAGCGAGCTCTGGTCCCTTCACCCAACAGGCCCTGATGCAGCTCCCCCAGGATGATGGCCTCTCATCGGGTTGTCAGTAGGGCTGGCTGGAGGTGGGCCTGAGTCAGCCAGTCTTCTGTCTCCTGGGCCCTCACTGTGCTAAGTCTGCGGACAAAAGCCAGAACACAGGGCTGTACCCAGCAGTGCTGGCAAGCCCTCTGTCAGCATTTGCCTGCTTGAGAAAGAATGTAGTCAACTGAGCCACTTGTGATTGCATGAGGACCTTGTATTCCCGCTGGCGAGCAGGCCGTGGTGCCGGTGGCATGTCGCGCCCCTCCCAGTGCTCCCAGGGGTAGGGCCAGGCCACTCTGATGGATGTCCTGTTGGGTGTAATATACTTCTGTTGCCAAATAACAGTACGGTGTCATTTTCCATAGAAGGGAGACTATATTGTCTGCTATGTAATGTTAATGGAGTTCTAAAAAATAACTAGACTTTATTATAAATTGTAGAATTATGTATTTGTCTAAGGGTTAACAAAGCAGGGCCAAGAATATTAGGTTTTATTATTTGTTTAAAAGAAGCTGAGGTTGGTTTGCTGTCTGAGTGTTCCTTTGGTACCTTATTATGTTGTGAAATGTTAAATTTCATCTCTTAGATTATGGTAACTAAACTTTTTTTTTTTTTTAAACCAGTAGCAACACCAGTTAAAATGGCTATTTCTGTGCATTTTGAACCTAAAAAGAACAATCTCTTCAAAACAATTCCTTGGTCACTTTGACCTGTACGGTTTAAATCCACACAGTTCATGAATAAAATGAGAAAAGGCAACCGTACTACAGTGGATTATTTTGGTTTCTTTTTGTCTCCCCTCCTTGTTGAGCATAGGAAGTCAGTGGCCCTGCAAATGCTGGCCTCTTTGTATTTCCTTTTCCCACAGACAAGGCTGAATTTGTGCAAGGAAAATTATACCAAAAAAAAAAAAAAATCTAGAAAGCAAAACAAACCAACAATCCTTTCAACTCTCCTACGCCTTCTTCAGATAAATGTTAGCACCAAGTGGAAATATACTGCCCTGTGCCAAGTGTTTAATCTGAGAATAACAGAAATTCTGTGTTGTGAAGCATGAGAAATGATGTAAACAGCCAGGGGGAGACAGAAGACTAAGACTGTCTTCCAAAGATGTTCTGAAGGGTCACCCCTGATTTCTATAAAGTTTCTAGCACAAACAGCTTTACAGTTCCAAACGTTTGTCCTTTACCTCTGGGTACCATTAGCAAACCCAACACTGAACTCCATTTTTATACCATTTTCTTTTGTTCTTGTTTCAAGGCAATCAATCCTATTTCATCATTGATTTAACTGGTAATAAATCCTGTACATTTTCTAGGCTGCTTGGATATGAGTTGAGTTGTGATAGCACATTTTAAAAACATTGACTGACAAATAGACCTTAATGAGTACATTTTTTTTTTTGGTACCTGGGATTGAACTCAGGACCCTGCACCTGTGAGGCAGGTGGCGGTGCCACTGAGTTTAATCGCCAGCCCTAGTACATTCATTTTTGATAAAGCGTATGCCTCTTGCTTGTTATTTGAAATTTTAAAACTACATTAGAGCTGGGAACAGACTGGTGGTAGAGGGACAGTGGCAAAGCCCCTGCCAGCATATGCAAGGCCCTGGGTTCAATCCCCAGGACTGTAAAAAAATGTTTTTGGATGCACTTCACGTTGTAATTTTTCTGCATGTGCAGGCAGGCCTCTGTGTATTTGACATTTGCTCCTATTTAACAGCTAACAGGCATCCAGCACATCCCATACACAAGACAATATTCAGTCACATAATTTATGAATGACCTCACACGCACTGCCTTCTCTTAAATCAACTTGCCCCAGAGGTCCACAGCTTTACTGTAAAGGTCTGGATAGTGTGGCATCACCTGACATCCTAATTTACTCTTAATTCGTTTAAATAATCCCAACTACTACGTTTTGTTTTTAAAATGTGCATGATAAAAAATGCTGTGTAGGCTGGACTCTGGGTTAATCTGATGGTCTTGTGGAGGGATAGTTGAAGGATTTCATCATTTCCTGTTTCATGTGCTTCAAAAGGAAGGTGACTTTCTGAAGGATTTGGGAACCCACAAGAGTTCCCCTAAAGTGGCGCGTGCATTAGCTGTCCCACGTCTCTAGGAGCCCCGTGGCTTGAGCATGGGAAGCGAGTTAGGAGGAATATGGATCTAGGGAAAGCTGGAGTAGGGAGACAAAGCTCGGCTGTGGAGACAGAGCCCACGGAAGCGGGAGGCAGTGCAGGTTTGCTTCTCTGACCACCCAGGGCGTCAGCAGTGGCTTTGCAGGGGATGTGCCTTTGCCCTACCAGCTTCTGTCTTCCACCGCCAGAGCAGGGGACCCACCCAGAGGGAGCCGGGGTGCTTGCTGCAGGTGAAGGCAATTCAGGCACGGCGACACTGTTCCTCCTCTTCCCTGTGGCAGGGGGCTGCAAGCGGGCATGGTCAGTGGCGCCTCTAGTGTGGTCCTGTGCACCTTCCAAGTCAGGAGAATGGTTATGAGCTAACCAGCAGCACCTGCTTCTCTGGCTCCTGAGAGCACTAGGTGCTTAGCCATCCTGCTACGCTTTCTTGTAGGTGGTTTACTAGGACACATGCAGTCAGGCCAGGCCAATAGCGGGGCAGAGGCACCCTGGTCCCAGCACTTGTGTGCAGGGAGCAGCCTTAGGCCATGCCAGTACTGTTAAGACCTCCTAGGTAGCACAGTCCTCCTGCTTCTGCCCTACCAGCAATGCTGTGTTTCTCCCAAAATAGTCAGTTCTCTTGCTCAGTGCCACTCTGGAAGGCAAGGGTAGGCTGACTGGGGCTCGCATTTTTGATCTCTAGTTTTCAAGGCTGATGATCTTCTGGCTAGGTCTTACTTTTGAGAAAAGGGGTACCTGCAGTCGATGTATTGGCTGAACACTCCCGAAGGTGACCAAGAAATGGGTACTAGGACTGCTGCCTAGGGAACTCCATTTTCTCTGGCAGTGAAGATGGGAAAGATCTGACTGGGGGGCTGGTTTTGGCTAACAGGAGCATTTAGGGGCCAAGTGGGAAGGGCACTGGACTCACCTAAGGCGACTCATGGTGCTAGACGTGGAGAACAAGCGAGATGTGGCGTGGAGGCCAAGCCCTCGGCTTGCCCGCTGGCAGCCTGGCACATCACCCTCAGCAAATCCCCAGAGCTCCCCCATCTCCTGCTCATTGGTAGTGTGGGTGATGTCTGTCCCACCTGTATCACAGATTAAGCTGAAGTAAATGCACAAAACATGGCCTGAGAGCTAGGGAGCACCCATAATTCAGAGCAGTTCTGGAGGGTGGGGCCTCCCTGGAGGACCACGGAACAAGAGTCACCCAATGGTGGATCAGGGACCCTGAGTTCTTGGCCACCCTGGAAGACACAGGACCTGTTGAGTGACTTTGTGTCGGTGCTGTGTTTAATCAATTAATTCCTAGCAATCATCTCTGCAAGCCAAATTCTCTAGCCAAAGGGGTTTAATCTTCTAGTGGGGGACACCAGAAGATATGAGAAAAAGACTCCCTGCACTCCCCTTTTAAAGACAGTAAACACAACACAGTGTGTTCAGGAAGCACTTTACTGTAGCTCCAAGTTTAAGGGTTTACACTGATGACAGGAAGTCAGCACTTTTCAGATCGTCTCCCGCATTGCCCTGCTCAGCTTCTGAATCTTGCTTTTTGCAGACATATCGACATATTTCTCCCCAATGCGGACAATCATTCCACCCATGATTGAGGGATCAGTCTAGGAAAGGAAACAGGTGAGAAATGTGACAACGCACCAACATCATCTCACTGCTCAAACAAGGGATGAAACAGTGCTGAGTGGGCCAGTGAGGCACACGGTGTAAGACACCGTCTAGGAGACGGAGGGTAAAACTGCATGAAACCAGGCACTTACACAGACAGAGTGGATTCTCATGAACACCCTCTATACCCACTGTAAGTTCCAAATAACCTGAGGAAACATACCGTAAATCATTAAAAACTTACCTTAACCTCTAGTTTCAATACTTGGCCCCGACCTAGGAAGCTCTTCAGGACTGCTGTTAATTCAGAGAGAGCAGCTTGATCTAAAGGCTGAAAAGGAGCAAATCATCCATTAATTAAATAAAGTCCGAGAGACTCCCATAGTCAAAAAAGGAAGGGAAAGAAATACACCAAACAGACCCTTCTGTCTTAACTATCTGGGGCCCACGGAGCAGCTGTCCCTGTCCCACTGACGGAACCCCTCGGAGCCCAGGTCCGGCAGTTCACTGACCACAGAGCTACGCCCACCCTGTCCCGAGTGAGAGGAAACACTGCAGCAGGAAGCCTGAGGACGCGCCTCTCTGCCGCAGCTGAGGCCGCTATGTGGCTGTCCCTTCCGGGAGGGAGCTAAGGGAGCTGCAGATTACAGTACCCCTCACCCCCAGCTCTGTCGCTGTCTCCCAGGTCCTCGGCCACCCGGAGCCCCAGCATGCACTGCATTCATGAGTCTCAGAGGCACCAGGGGCAGCTGCTTTCTCCCCAGCCGAGCGAAGCGTGACCTGGCCGGATGGAGCGCACACCCTGAGGGCCAGGCTTCCATCGCCCCTCTCGGCCCCCACTCACTCTGGGTGGTCAGGTGAAGAGGGGACAACAGAAAGGGTGCTGAAAGACAGGCCTCTGACCCCTCACAAATCCTCCCACCCCCTCAGGCAGGAGCTGAAGTGGCGAGTGGAGGTGGTACCAGTCTGTTGGTGCCCCGAGACTGGGACCCCGGCCCCGAAGTGTGGAGCCCCTCACATCTGCCCCTCCCTTAATCTGGACGAGGCGGTGAGGCTGGTGGGCATCGCTCCCATTTTATCTGAGAGAACTGAGGGACACAGGGGTTGAAAAACTTGCCAAAAAGACACAGCGGTGCGTGAGGATTCACACCAGCACCTGCAACTGGTCTTGTGTTTCTAACGTCCGTATACACAGTCACTAATAAAGGCATAATTTTCTTTTCCAAATGTGGAAAGTTATTCACCTGGGGCTATCAATATCAAAAGCCTCAACAGGCTGTCCTAAAGATTCTATGAAAACCAGCATCCTCGTTCGCACTCACTAGTGGCCCACATCAGCGCTCAGCCGTGGTGACGGGAGAAGCCCAGACAGTGCTACAGGCCTGGGGCCTGGTGCAGCTTGGGGGCTCCAGGTCACCGTCTCCGCTGCGACAATTCTCAGCGAGGCACGTGTTCTCGGGGCAACGACCACATAATGAGCTCCAATACACAAGCGTACCAAAACGCCTCTCCGAACCGTGCTGCTCTGGGAGAGTTAGAATACCTTCAACACTAGAACTATTCATCAAGATGAGGCGAGGAGCTGCACACTGCAAACAGATCTACTCTACTCCACTGATGTTTAAGTCCCAGAGATAGTTTTCCTGTGCTGACTGAACCACGTTAGGAAGAAAACAATGATAATGATTTTCCTGCTTGTGGTACTGGGGCCTGAACTTAGGGGTGCTCTAGCACGGAACTACACCAGCCCTTTTTATATTCGGAGACAGGGTTTCACCAAGTTGCCTCTCCTGGTCTTGAACTTGTGATCTTCCTGCTTCAGCCTCATGAGTAGCTGGGATTACAGGCCCGTGCCACCAAACCCAGCAAGAAAATACAGATTTAAGACATCAACAAAATTCCTTATGGGGAGATAATATGGTGTAGTAAGGAATACAGACTTCTGAGGCAGAGAGGTGTTCAAATCCTGATCCCACCTTGTGTAACTTTGGGCAAACTACAGAAGTCCTCTGGGCTTCAGTCTCCTCACACGTAAAATAAGGGCAAGTACGCTTCCACCTCATATAAACCTTTGATATTACATCAGACAATAAACATATCTCAGTGTTCTTCCCGTTTAACCCAGTCTACAGTGATTAGGGTAAACACAGACACAGACCTGCTAACAAGAGACACACTGGCCCTTCCAAAGCAGGATTCACAGAAGCTCAGATAAAGATGAAAGAAATCCTAAGGGACGAGTCGACAGTGACCTTCCTTGATTTTACCTTCTGCCAAGGCAAATGCAGCGGCAAGAGCCAAAACCTGCTACTTACAGATGCAGTGGTCACTGTGCAGGGCACCTCTCCGCGGTGGACGCTCATGATGGTAGAGAAGGCAGAAATGACTCCCCGGGCATTTTCCAGGCGACCGTTTTCAGCAAGCAAATCTAAGAAAGTGAAGGTGTCCCAGCGACAGGAAACCACTCAACAGGTTATTCATTCATGCACGATTACACTCACTCGAAAAGCAACCTTGGGTTTGTGGTTTTAAAACATCACATTCAGTGTCCTCCGAGAAAGGGAAGACTCTAGCTTGTTACTTTAAAGTGTATTTAATGTCTTTTTTTAAAAAAAGCAGACAGCCCTGATAAGCATTTGAATCAGCAGGTGTGTACGTGTGGGAGAGCTGCACCCAAAAGACCTGCAACAGACTTCAAGCACATGGTGCACAAACATTTTCAAGTTGATGTTACAGATGCCAGTGTTTGGGCACAAATTCCTAAACCAACACACTGTCTGCATCCACAGATGACTACATGAATGGACTTTGGAACCTGTATTTGAACTTGGCCAGGAGGAAATGAAAAGCAATCCAAATGCACCAACAGATGCAACTATCTGCAAGGTCTGAGGTGCAGCCACGGGTCCCAAACTATTTTCTCCATGTGAATCCCGCTGGCATCCTGTGTGGGCTGCAACTAGAGACTACGCAGTTGCACAGCCTTCCACCCCAGCGCCTTTTGGCCTGTGCCCCGGGACATTGAATGTGCAACAACTCGCTTGGGAAGCTGCCTGGGGTGCAGCAGCTCTGGACTGGGCAGGTTGGGCTCAGTGCTGAGTCCTCCCTGCCGCAGACTCGCAGTGATGCTGATGCTCCTCACTGTGGAGCACATTTTTGGCAGCAAAGTTTTAAGAATACTCAGAAGAAAAAGTTCCAACACTTACTCATCAGGTTGGATGTAAGGGGGGAAAATCTCTCTTTCGCAGTGATGTCATTCAGGCTTTTCACTTTAATGGAACGCTTAATATAGGGATTCAGAACAGACGTGGCCACCTTGGGGTCCTTCAGGAGTTGCTAAAAGTACCAAAACCCCAAAAAAGAATTTAATTCTTTAGAGGACAAATAATCCCACCTGCCACACGTATACACTTTTTTATAGATTAAGAAAAACAGCATTCTCAAACATGTTAGAAGAAAAGTTTATAAACGAATACATTTCTCTTACTTCATGAAAATATCGCACCCTGACTTTCCATGGGACAAAATGATGTTCAAAAATTTAAAATATCTTATGAAGTTTTGTGTGTGTGTGTGTGTGTGTGTGTGTGGTGGTACTGGGGAGGGAACCCGGGTCCCTGTGCATGCCGGGCAAGCACTCTACTAAGTTATAATCCCAGTCTTTTAAATTAAAAATGTATTCCTGCTTTTCAAGAAAGGTCATTAAAAATTAAGCAGCCAAAATCTCCAATTCACTCTAATGTATGTAGTATGAGTAACTCTCCAGTTTTCCTAGCAATGCTGTCCTGTAGGTGCAGACCTTCCACGGTTGTTGGACTGCAGCAGGCCTCTTTGCCTTGGGCTGACAGTGATTCTACCCAGCTTCTTGCGGAGCTAGAGGAACAACCAACTTATGAGAGGTCTCTGCTGTTTCCAGAGCAGGCTCAATGAGTCTGGGAAGGAGTGTGGACAGAAAAATGAGAGTGCAGTGACTGTGGAGACTACTTTGTTCCTATTTTACTAAATCACCAACATATGAATTCAGTAGCCACATGTAACTTCCTGCATCCAGCTGCTCTTAGTGCCAGGCCAGCGTTCCAATGAACCAACAGCTCCAGTCAGGCGTGTTTCCGTTGCACATTTCTCTCTTTCAGTTACTCTGCTAAGCACCTCTGCCCAGAGTCCTGTCTTGTCATAGGCTGCCACCCAATGCTAAGATTTCCACCTGGATGGCCCAGAGAGATGGCAATTGCCCATAAGAACTGCAGGCTTATACAAATTAAAACCTCCTGGAACTGGGTTACCCATTTTTCATGTTCCTTATCTGTTTATGCTGCACTGTCCACTGGACAGTTAGTGTAAAACCTTCTAAGTGGTCCCAAATGTTAATTTTCATTTACGAAGAGTCTTATGGTAATGTCTCCCTTTTTATTTTGCAAGGCTTCCAGATTTTAGATGAACACCATTCTGATGTCCGTGACCTGAATCGTTCTTTCTTTGTGAACATGACTGGAGTCTAAAATGGGCGTAACTGACAAGTAGCAGGCGGGTCTTAAGGGCTTATCACTCTAGCTAAGACCTTAAGCATTATCTGGAGACACCCGGGCAAAGGAAGGCATACAGAGCTAACATTACTCTGCTAGGACCAAAGTTCTAACAAAAGATCAGACTGAAAACAAACAAAACAAGTCATATACAGTAAGGAGGTATACTCATTAATAGAATGGAAGTTCTACTCTATACAACTAGCCCATGAGATTGTCTTCCCCTAAACAACAAAAATTTAAAAATCTTTAGGAATACTTGGGTTAGAAAATAAAAGTTATTCTTAACACATACAATAAAAAACAAGTAACGTTTTCCTGGGAGAGCCCATGTACTAGACTGTCTCCCTCTCTTGTTTTAACATAGACTTTATTGGCAGGCGTGGCTCCTAGAAACTAAAAAAGGAGAGGGGACATAACATAATACACAGAAACTGCTCAACCAGAAAATTCACTGAAAACTGAAGCAGCGCCTTTTTATGTTACATTATAGATCTCTGTTAATTCAGTATATCTACTTTTTCATTTTTCTTTTAAACTAAAGGTGAACTATCTGGTGGCCTCAGGGTCTTTCCTCGTGGTTTTCTACCTCATTAGGAAGCTTGCGGCCTCCCCTAAATGCTGCTCAGCACCCTCTGCTCAGGCACTTGGCCCTCACATCTTGGAAGCAAGGTGATAATTAAAACCCAGAAGAAGGCTGCCTCCAGAAAAATTCTCTGTAAAGTGAGGTTGTAATATACAAGAGGACTATTTTGAAAATACCTTGATTGCAAGCATAGATTTTAAAATTAATTAATCAATCAATTAATTAAAAACATGGACCGCTTCACGAATTTGCGTGTCATCCTCGCGCAGGGGCCGCGCTCATCTTTTCTATATTGTTCCAATTTTAGTATTTGTGCTGCCGAAGCAAGCACAAAAGATGACGTTTTAATTCTCTTCTGAAATGGGGATTTTTTTTTTCCCCTAAAATGACTTTCTTGTATCTTGATTTTATACTTCTGCCTCTTAATTGGAAATCTTGGTTCCTAACATTAGTATCCTTGTATGTGTCTGCGTGTTCCTATTATACAAGTTTCAGAATAATAAAATCCAGTATTATTACTAACAGTATTTTAACAGAAAAGTTTGTTTCTGGCAGTTCTTTTTTTCACTGGATATACTTACGGGGGGAGCACAGATAATTCCAGGCATGATTATACGTATAGGGATTTAACATGCACAGAAGAAGCAAGCTACTTACTGCTACTCGGAGCAACTCCTTTTCCACTTGATCCAGTTTATTCTGCTTAGATGCAGCGGAATAGAGAGCTGTGGCATAGCGACCTTCAATGCCATAAACCTGCACAGGTGGCTTTAAACCGAAAAGATGGGGTAAGGAAAAAGGAAAATCAGTTCAGAGATGATACTGTACTGGTAAGAGCAGAATTAAACATATATAACTTAGAAATACATCTCAAACCGGGCTCAGGAGCAAATGTCAGTAATCCCAGTTACTGGGGAGGAAGAGGCAGGAGGATCATGAGTTTAAGACCAGCCTGGGCTATAGTAAGTTCCTGGCCAGTCAGGACTCTCTATAACAAAACTTTGTCTCAAAAAGCAAAATGAACAAAACCATCCCCAAAATCTTGTAACATAAACGTTTAAATAAGCTGTCTTTAAAAAAATAAAAACACAAAAAACAAGCTCTCAAAGACAGATCTCAAACAAATTAGGGATGTTTCCTCAGCCAGGTCTATCTGTTTTTGAGCCTCCAATTCCTCACTTGCCAAATGAGGGGCTGACATTAGTGAAATGTCATTCAAAACGACTCTGCGATTCCATCTCACCCAATCAGAATGGCACGAATACAAAAAAAAGAAGACTAACGTCCCTCCTGGCTCTACCTACCTGTAATTCAATTACTTTAAGAAGAGCTTATGCTTCCCTTTGAACTCAGTAACAATCCAGTTCCAGGTATGGAAGGTTTTTAACACTGACAGGAGTATATATTTACCAATTTCAGAGAAATAAATTTCCCCTTACAGAGATTTTCCAGCAATGTGCACTTTATAGAGCCTGTTAGCAGCTCAAAGTGCCTGAAGCTTGAAGCTACTTTTCATAAATAAACCTTCAGTGGACAATTACACATACTTGGTGGTACTGTGCGGTTGGATGGAAAAGCTTAGATTCTGCACAAGATTGATTTCCAAACCAGTTCTAAGACCAAGCTGAGTAACATTAGGCGAATTTTTGCAGAGCCTCAGTTCTTCCCTACCACTATCAATGGGGTTTTAGGAAGTTCTCAAATGAAGGATAAAAACGAGATGATTCCTTCAAATTTTGAAATCTGTTACTGGTAGGAGGGTGGGGGTGTGACAATTCTGAATTCCATCTGAAGAGGTTCACCAAGAACACAGATCTCATATTTGGACCTTTCTTATTTTCCAGGAAGGGGACTGGCTCACTGTTGACTGGGGTGGGTATGTGGATAAAAGAAAGAGTCCAGCACACTTCTGGATCTGTGAACTCAGGGACATTCCTGTTCCCTGACTGCTGGGTCAATTTTCTGTCACACAGGAACTAGTAACTAAAGGAAGAATTAAAAAATAACATGAAAATGCAGCCACGTCACATCCTGTTATCAATTGTCAGCTATGCATTATTTTGAGGGGCTTCTGCATAAACTCCATTTTTTTATAGTTCTTTTAATAGGGTGGGGTCAACCAGACTACCTCTGATTTAAAAACAAAGGGATAGGGGCTAGGAATGTATCTCAGTGGCACCACACCTGCCTGGCAAGTGCAAGGTCCTGAGTTCCATCCCAAGTACTGGGGGTGGGGGGAGAAAGAGACAGGCAAATCTTTGTAAAGGTGAGTTTGGTGTCTAGTGAATAGTCCTTTTGTCAATGCTGATTTTGTTTGAAAAAGTGTGTAAAAAGAATGAATGTTCCTGCTGGGCACATGGGAGTATATCTATAATCTCAGCACTTGGGAGGCAGAGGCAGGAAGATTGCAAGCTCAAGGCCAGCCCGGACCACAAAGCAAGACCCTGTTGAAAAAGAAAAAAGAAAGAAAGAAGTGCAAATATTCCTTTCTAGCTAGGGGGAAAACAACTTGTAACATGGGGCACCGTGACCAGACTGCAATTGAAACTGAGAAATCTTGACTTTAATACTGACTTCTACAATAACATACTGTAAGAAGCTGGGCATATATTTGGCTGAATCTATTTGTTTTATTTTTAAAAATGCTAGCTTCCCTACTTTGGAGGGTTAATGGAAAAAACAAAAGGTTAAAAAAAAAGTTCTCATCTTTAAAAGTTATGCATGAGCTCACTGCACATAACTCACTCAATGTTACTCCGTTCCCCACCCAAGGCCACCATCAGATTTTGGGAACCACAACTCATACTAGAAAGGTCTAGGTGCAAATACACAAAAGTCCATGGACGCACATGCTCTTATCTGCTTTATTATTTCCAAGAGAATATAAATTAACATACCCTCACAAGCTTGGCAAATGGCCTGACCACAGATGTACTGAAGCATCGCACCTTCAAAAGAAAAGAAAATAGATGAAACGAGGTTAACTGAAGGGTTTCTGCACTTAACCCAGTATTCAGAACATTTTTAAAACTTCTAAATGATTAGTTTCATAATTTCTTTATATTGTCGTACAGATCACGAGTTTGAGCTGCTTCTTTATTGCTTACAAATAAACTTCCCTACTGAGAATCACCTCAAACTGCTTAGGAAACTGCCTTCCCATTAACTTCTTAGTGTGCCAGGAATGGGCTGGGACTAGCACACTCACATGGGAGAGAAAATACTAACTTTCAGGGAGTGTACGTTTTAAAAAAAAAAGTCACAAGACTTTTGGCATTTATATTACTACATCCTTAAGCAGGTTTTTAATTAAAGTGGGATGACTTCAGGCATGATTTGCAATGGATGTACTTCTGGGGACTCTAAATGCTATCTAAAATTAAAATTGATCCTTCGAGCATCGATGCAATCGACGTTTGATAGAACAGGCCCCAGTTCTTAGTGTGGCCTAAGAACTGTCAACCGACAGAGCTGGAATCCATAGTTTAAAATGCACCTGAAAGGGCACCGGTCACCTTTACATACTTCCAGCTCTGGAATGTACTGTATCAGAATTAGCTGTGAGGATTGAAAGACTTTAACGCTTGTGAAAAAATTATGTAATGATACGAGGGCATCATGGTGGGTATAATAAAAAGCACACAATTTTTTCCAACTCTATCTTCTGGGTTGAATCTACGGGTTCTGAAGCCAACACTGCTACCACTTACTGGCTGAGCAATCAAAGACAAGTCATAGAAACTTTTCTGTCTCCTTTTACACAAATAGGAAACGTGACTTACAAATATTCCTGAGCATTACCAGTGGCCCGTGACAGATTTTATCACAACGGCCAAAAAAGCTGACTTGGGGGCTAAGCAGCCTTCTTTCTCCAGAGACTAAGGAAGCCCAGCCTCCCTTTCCCGCGCTCCTCCAGCCAGGTGCCTCGCCCGACAGAGCTCCGAGGACACCACGATCACCGCTCGCGCAGCCCCGCGGGCGTCCTAGGGGGCAAAAGCAGGGCAGCCCCGAGTCGACCCCACTTGCGGGGGGCCCCACGACCTCAGACGGCAGCCACGATCTCCCAGCCGTGTCGTCACAGCCTGACGCTCGGGGTGTAGAACCGGCCACCCCAGAGGGAAAAATCCTCCCGCTGGCTTCGCTAACCTGCCGGTACAGCCCGGAAGCTCCTGGACCGGACATCTTCTCCCGGGCGGCTGTAGGTCAAACCCGGGTGGGGAGAGAGAGATGTTAGAGCGCACGCGCGCGCCAGCGTGACCGCAGGACCCTCTGGGATATGTAGGCGTAGATCTCCATGGTAATGATATAGCAAAACTGGGAGTTGTAGTCCTTAGAAGCAGCGGTCCGGGCTGCCCAACTCGGGTTGGGGCTAGTAGTCTTGTACTGCATCTGCAAATAATTCCCTAAATTACTGAGTAGCGACCTTCATTATAGAATGGATTTACTGTCCTTAGCTTTAAAAATCTCCAGTTAGGTAAACTTGGTGGCATTTTTCCGTTTCATATTCATTATTATCATCTTTACCTCTTCTCCCTAGAGAGCCAAAGCTTGCGTCAGTGGCTACCCCTTACGCTGCACAAACGAAAAACACAAAAGCAAGACTTGCCGTGCCGGGAGCAAGCACCACATCTCTCTTGGGCCGTGACTGCCCCTCTTTATCCCTCCCCTTTTTCTCTTTCTAATCCGAGCACTCCTCTGTTAGCCTGTGAGGGTGTGTGAAATTCTGGTGCTGACACGCTTTGTTCTGTGTAAAGCACAGCTGGACGTGAAGTAGGAGAGTTAAGCAAAGGTGTAGTTAAGCAGAGGTGGCACTGAACACTGGAACCAGACACTAGCCTTGGCCAGTTTTTCTGCGTTCACAAAAACAACTTATTTTCAACCATTCAAGCGAGGTTCAAGGCTCCTAGTTGTAATGATGGGGTTCTGTGATCAATGTAAAAGAAAGCATTTCTGCTCAAATCTAGTATGGGAACAAAGATTAATTCATTACTGTTTTTAGGGGATGTAATTGCCCCCTTTTCTACTACCCAGAGGCAGCTTTGTCAATATTTTGGTAAATTGTTTCCCAATATATTTGTAGGCTGTAGATCGCCCAGGGTTGAATCTCAGACATTTCTGTGACCTTGGCTTAATCACACAACATCTCTGTACTTCAGTTTTTTTAACTTATAAAATGGGTATTTTATTGGTATCTGCCTTATAGGTTGTTAGAAAAAAAAAATCAAGTTAATATATAGGTGACCAGGTATGATGACACACACTGTAATCCCAGGACTCTGGGAGACTGAGGTAAGAGGACCAAAAGTTTGAACCCTAGGAAGGTAGCTCAGTGAAAATGTCCTAAATTCAATCTCCAACTGTAACTTAGAAGAATGGCCTGACAGTAGTAGTTAGTGTATTATTTCTTTATTTTGTGTTTGGTTTTATTATGCATAAATGCATAATACATATTACAATGTAATATAAACATGTTTCCAAGTTATAAAATTTTTATAAATATAATTTTTTGGAGGCGGAGTTTGGCTGTGTAGTCCAGGTTGGCCTGGATCTCATGGTGTTCCTCCTGCCTCTGCCTCCTGAGTGCTGAGATTACAGGCATGAACCACCACACCTGGCACATAAATATAATTTTAATGGCTGAAGAATAATCTTCAGATGGATATTTTGCAGCTTAATAATTGTATAATTCATCCAACATTTTACATTTGGCCATTTTAAATACTTCATCTCCTAAGCATCTTTTCAGACAAATTTTTTTTCCTCTTTAAGGTAGTTTTCAAATATATTTTCAGAGGTGCACAGTTTTATAAGGGAATATGGGCACTTAAAAAAATTTTTTTTTGTAGTACTGGAGATTGAGCCCAGGGCTTTCACACTGAGCCCTTTTAAATTTAATTTCAATTTTTTTATTTTGAGATAAGATCTTGCTATGTGCCCAGGTGTGACTCCAACTTGGCATCCTCCTGTCTCAGCCTCCCAAAGTGTTGGGTTTGTAGGCATACACAACCACATCCTGCTTAAACACCTTTATGCATGAGATCAAATTGCTTTTCAAAAGTTTTAACCAATTTACCCTTTTATTAGTAGTGTATGAAAAGCCTTATCTCACTCCATGCTGCGAATTATTTTCAGGAACTACTTTCAAATAAGCCTAATGAAATGTATATTTATTACTTGATAGGGACTAGGGATTTAGCTTAGTGGTTCCACTATCTGCCTTATAAACACAAGGTTCCAAGTTTGATCCCTGGTACCACACACACACACACAAAAATAAATAAAAAAGAAATAAAAAAAAGAAAAAAGAAAGAAAGAAAAGAAAAAGGAAACAATATACATTACTGAGCCTCAATTATGCGCTGTTCTGTGCCCTGAAGATACATACAGCAGGCTATGCAATAGAGAACGTGATGCTTCTTAGACCTTGCATTCCACATAAAACCAAACCCTAGAACTCGTGTGTCCTGAAGTGTGGGTATTAATAGAGGGGATACAAATAAAGAGTTTGTGGGTCAGTTACACCTGAGAAGCTCTAAACTCTGTAGTGCATTGATAATTAATTCTAAGTAACTTTGTAAAGTTGCATTGCAACAGTAAGACACCCTCAGATAATTCTGTGTTTATCTCACGTCCCTTGCACATCTCCAGAATTCCTTAAATTGGAATTTTAAGGTTTTTGAAGTGGTTCCACAAACAGGATTTCATTTGCATTTTGAGTGTCAAGATAACTCTAAGATGTAGGTAAGCCTGATATTCACACACGCGCACACACACACACACACACACACACACACACAAGTGCGCGTGCGCGTGCACACACACATATATGTATATATATCTTGTGCATTATATATATATATTTTTTTTTTTCTTTTTGAAACAGGATCTCCTTATGTATTCAGGCTGGCCTTGAACTCACTGTGTAGCCCAGGCTGGCCTTGAACTTCCAGCCACCTCCTGCCTCAGCTTCCTGAGTACTGGGATTACAGGCATGTACCACGACATCTGGTTCTCCTGTATTTTATAGATGGTGAAATATCATGAATCCCTTTTAGGCAGTGAATCCAGGGGATGACACTGGGTGTCAAAGCCAGGCGCCTACTCTGTGCCCAGTCTCTTTCTACTACCCTGGTTTAAAGAGTGAGTGAACCCTTCAAGATGTATTCTTGGGCATATGACTTTGATGCCAGTGTATTTTGCTGAAGTGACCCAAAGGAGAAACAGAGTTCCAGAGCCTGACACCTCTGTGGTCACACTTTTCCTTCTGGCTGCTCTTGGCTTCTAGGTTCCCCTTCCCAATCTCACTGTAAGAAATCACTGCAAGACAGGCTGGGGTGCACTGTGAAAATTCTCATGGGGAAGAAGCTGGCCGGCTTCTGCTGTGTAAGGACAGAGTTGGGAAAAACCCCAGAATTTTATCACACAGAAGAAGGGAAGCAGCTTAGCTCTCTGCTGTTACAGTGCTTTCCCTGTGTGCAAACTCAAAACTATTTAAAACTTAGTTACTTTAACAGCTGTGGCCAATGGAGTGAAAGGGACATTGTCAAGGCCACAGAGCAGTGCTACACCTGCCAGCAGACCCTAGGCATCTAATCTGGCCTTTTTTGTTTTATGCTGACCTTCAATTCAGAGCAAATGTTGCTATTTTATTTTCTGTACAAGGCACCATAGACCATGACAGAAAGCATCACGAGATCCTCAACTGCATCTGTTTTGAAAATGACATGAGTTTCCCTTTAATCCAGAGAGAACATCTCCCAAACTACACCGGTCAGGAGTCTGGATGAAGGTTAATTGCCAAAATGTTCACTGCATTTGCTTTAAAATAGAAAAAACATTGAAACACGTGCCTAAGCATAAGGAAGTGGACTTTCCAGGGGCATATTATGCAGCCATTAAAATGTGATCGCCAAAAAGTATTTCATGCCCTGGAAAAAATATGTAATGACATAAGAAAAAAATATACAAACCATACTGTGTATTTTTCTACAATGAGCATGTGTTACTATAATCAGAAAAGAAAGATTTGATCCTTTGCCCAGCTGACTACTGTGATCCTGAGAGGGTAGGTACAGGTACTCTAATTCTGTAACACTCATCTTTGGACACAAAAGCGATTGCTTCAAGTTGATGAGCCCTGTGAAGGATCAAGGAGTTGAACCAACAAAATTCTTTCCTTTCAAAGATTAACTGCTGCGTAGACTGCACCAGTCCCCTGGCAATTTTCTTTAGCTTTGCAGAATCTATAGTGAGAATTATATCTGCTTAGGACAACGGCAGATAATAAAGTTTTTTTTTTTTCTCTCTACACATTTTGTTACACTGACAGAACCTGGCAAATGTTTGCATTGTTCACATATTTATCTTGGCGTCAATTCCGCTCCAGTTTCCTCTTTTGTTAAGAACTGCACAAGGCTCCATTCAACAGCAGACCACAGCCACTTTCTGTCTTGCGGTGAGGTGACCGACTAGTAAACTGTCTTTAAGATTCGATGCATCTGCGAAGAGGCCGGGAGTAAATAAAACACAGGAAAAAGGGCCACCCCCCACCCCTCACCTTTGAAGAAATCTGCATAGGAAAATCTGCAGCACAGATGTCACGGATCTGGAAGGCGACAGGAGGACCCTGAGCTGCAGAAAGTGTTTCCCCAGCCCTCTTCCCAGCTCTTCTCCTCCGATCGATCGCGGGGCCACCTTGAAGCAGCCACCTGCACTCTGCTCAAGGTCACTCCGCTCAGCTCGGTGCAGGCGGCCGCGGCATCATATCGACAGTAGGGGGCGCCATGTCCACACGTTGTGAACGCCTCGCGTCGGGATGGATTTCTTTCTAGAGCTTTCGGCGTTCAAACTGCGGTAGCATGTCGGGCTCTCACATTTGCAAGGAAGAATCCGAGCCCTGTGAGATCCACAAACAAAAGGGGTCGCGGAGAGATGCTGTAATTAAGCTCCCGTGTTTTGGGACCCGCACAGCTCTGGCATCTCGCCCCCGAGGCACAGCCCTGGACGCCAGCAGTCTGAGGTTCCGTGGGCTCCGCAGCCCCCACCCTCACTCCGACCCCTCCACCTTCCAGCAGCGACCCAGCCTGTGCTTTGAGGGCTTTCGCAGACCAGCACCGCCCGCCGGGCTGCCGCAGGTCTGCTGCTCGGTTATCAAAGTCCCTGTTCGGCTTGGGTTTTGGGGAAAGTTATGCAGTCGAATGGGTGCCGCAAGCTACGAGACGGTGATGGCAAAAGGAACCGAC